GACCAACGAACCTGGTCCCCCTCTTTTTTCCCACCAAATGATTTTGAGTTTGTTCCACATTGTTCTCCCTCTCTATCCAGTATCTCCTCCATAGACCCCTTCCAAGTGGTTGACAGTGGTAGCCGGGCACCATCTAGTTCTTCTGGTCTCATAGTCATATAGGCTGAGGATTGCATGGTCTACCAGTCCTTTGGACTAATTGTTTCCATGTGTCTTTGGTTTTCTTCATTCCTCTTTGTTGTAGACAAAGAGAGACCCATTGTTGCATCTAGATGGCTGCTTGCAAGCTTTTAAGATCCCAGTTGCTACTCGCCACAGTAGGAGATGGAGCAATGTTTTGTGTAGTATGATATGCCAACTGAGCTCGATGTCCCCTGGGACCATGGTCCCAAGCCCACAGGTCCAGCTACTCACTCCCTCTGGGTAGCTGGCTGTGACCAAAAAGTGACTACAACCTTGTCCCTTGTCAGCTCTACTATACACCTGGGAATTCTTAGAGATCATACAAATACACTTGTAGAATCATTGTCTACCAGCCCTGTATGTGGTCTTGGGTACAGCCCCCTGCATAGACATACCTGATAGTTCAGCCTGAAGGACATTGCTTCTAACCTGAGTTTGGATTTCTGGCAGGACTTGAGGACCCCGGACGTGGTGGTGGGTGCAGACACCATCGTGGTAAGTCTCTGTGGCCCACGACGTGCTGCGCACATGCCCCATGACCCGCTCCCGTCTGCCCTAGCGTCTCCGCCCCAGCATGGCAGGCTTGTTCCATGACCTGTCAGTCTCCACCCCCTCAGGTTCTCTGCCGCTCACGGGGTCCCAGAGGTGTCCCAGCACCGAGTCAGCCGTGGAGGCAGAAACAACCCACGCGTCCACCAACAGATGATGAATAAATACAATGGGGTCTGTTCACACCGTGGAGTGTCCCTCAGGCATAAAGAGAAAGCACCCAGCTGTCCACCCACAGATGAGGGCTGGGGAAGGGTGACCATCCCACTAACTCCAGGGCCGGGCAGGCCCCGGCGGCCCCTTGGGCCCTCACACTGTCTGCCTCCACGGTCATGTGGTGCCCACATGTGTGCAGGCGGGAACCAGGCGCAGCTTCTGTGTGAGTCTGGGCATTTCTATGTGGAAGTTACAAAGCGAACAACCCGCAGCTCCCTCAGAAAGTGAGGCCGAGAACCCCATGGCCAGCGATTCCACTCGGCAGTCCCCCAAGAGAACTACAACAGGGTTCACGCACAGACACGGCCACCCGTGTGCACAGCAGCAGGGTTCCTGGTCCTGAGGTGCAAACCACCCACATGCCCACCGGCAGATGATGCATGAACCCAGTGCGGTACCCGTTAGCCATGAAGAGACACAGCCCAAGTGTGCATCAGTGGATGAGGGGTAAAGACAATTAAAGTGTCCGTCAAGAGATGAGGGAGCTCTGGTGGCGTAGTGCCTAAGGCATCTGACTGCTAACCAGAAGGCTGGCGGTTCAAACCCACCAGCCACTCCTCGGAAGGAAGGTTGGGCAATCTACTT